ACAATCTCAGTTTTGGAGCTGTAACTTCCTGCACCACAAACAGCATGGTAATGTGTGTGTTACCCCTCTTCTAAAGACTGTGTGTGTTCCTACAGTGCTTCATGAACTCCATCCTGCAGTGTCTCAGCAACACGCACAACCTCCGGGACTACTGTCTGCACAACTCCTACCGACGCGACCTTAACAAAAACAGCCGCACCAACACTGGAGCACTCATGGAGGGTGAGACTGCTAGCCTAGGTCCCATACAGTTAATGAATGCTGAAAATAGTATTTACCATCCAGTCTCCCATTTTACAATGTGGGAATGTGATCTATCTTCTTGTTTTCCTGGTTGTGCTTCTAGAATTCGCCAAGCTCCTCCAGACCATGTGGACGTCCTCGAGCAGCGAGGCGGTCGGCCCCTCAGAGTTCAAAACTCAGATCCAGAGATACGCCCCCCGATTCGTGGGATACAAGTACGTGTTGTTCCTCAACTAAATATTCATAGAGGCCACCTCTGAAATGGCACCCTATTCCCTATATAGTGCACTACTTTTGACAACAGCAGAGCCCTATTGGCCCTAGTGAATATTTGTGCACTTCATACAGATGTAGGATCTTAATTTGAGCCTGTTTGCTACAACAGGAAAAGAATACTGCAGCAACAGGAAATGTGAATTATTATGTGGATGATAATTAAGACATTTTTGTAGGGGTTGATACATTTTTCGTAAGAGAAAATCAAGTCAGAAATTTCAAAGTGGAAATGACAAACTTCAGAAGCGTTTTTAAACCTCAAATACACTACAAGTTTGACATTTCCTGCATTACAGGAAAGTTCTCCTGCAACAGGGTGACCACATTATGATCCCATATCTGTAGGGAATAGGTTGCCATTTCAGAGGCACTCCAAATCGAATAACTTTGTAGTATCAGTAATGGTTTTGTAGATGATTTTCCAATGCGTCAAAAAAATTACCTGTCTGTCTGTCTGTGTCCCTCCCTCCAGCCAACAGGACGCCCAGGAGTTCCTGCGTTTCCTATTGGACGGGCTGCACAACGAGGTAAACCGGGTCACGGTGCGGCCGCGGGGAAGCATGGAGGACTTCGACCACTTGCCGTGAGTGTTGCTCTCCTCTCCTGCTCTCTCTCTCTCCATTAACTACCATGGGACTATGGTCAAGAGAATGTTAACTGGGAGGGTAGGGTACAGCTAGGGCTGCAGCACGTCCCATAGTATGCAGTCAGTGGGTGTGGAGGCGTGACGCCTCGAGGGTTTACAAGAGGCTTTAACTGAATACTGACACACCCTCTCCTGTCCGGTCGTCCCTCCCACAGTGACCGAGAGAAAGGGGAGAGAATGTGGAACAAGTACCTGGAGAGAGAGGACAGTAAAATAGTGGGTAAGGGCACGCATCAACACCCACAGGGGTTAAGTAACACTGTGCTGTTAATAAATAGTGTTTTCTGGTAATGTGTAGTCTGTTGATTGATGTAGTGTGTGTGTGTGTGTGTGTGTGTGTGCACAGGTTGGTATTTATTGTCATGAATCTTTCCCTGGAGGAAGCTCTGCGGAGTGGTCACTAGCTGGCACTGGCACGAAATCATAAAATCAGATTTTAAACCTAACCTTAATCCTAACCTTAACCACACTGCTAACCCTTATACATTTTTTTGAACGATATAGCTAAGCAATTTTGACTTTGCAGCTGGCCCATCTAGCGGAAATTGCTCAGTTCTGCCTCCAGGGCAAGATTCATGACAAATGCCAACCTGCACACGTGTATGTGTCTTTGTGTCTTTGTGTATGTGTGAGGGGGTAGTAATGTTCTCTCTCTGCCCTGCCCTCCACAGACCTGTTTGTGGGTCAGCTGAAGAGCTCGTTGACATGCAGCACATGTGGCTACTGCTCGACTGTCTTTGACCCCTTCTGGGATCTCTCTCTACCCATCGCCAAGGTCAGTATCAACAATGCACACTAGCTTCCTCCCCACAGTATTTTACATTCACTGTTCACCAGACCCACATACAGTCCCAGCATTTTATGTAACCTAATGTGCTGTGTGTCTATGTGTCAAGAAGGGCTACGGAGAAGTGAGTCTGATGGACTGCATGAGTCTCTTCACCAAAGAGGATGTGCTCGACGGCGATGAGAAACCAACGTGCTACAGGTGTAAAGCCAGAAGAAGATGCACAAAGAAGTTCACTGTACAGAAATTCCCCAAGATCTTAGTGCTTCGTATCCTTTCTCAAGCTGTTCATATTTTTGGGCTGCATTTGTCTGATGGTACTCTATCCCATTAGATGTTGTAAAGGAGAGAGGAGTTGGCTAACACCTGGTCCCAGATCTGTAGATATGTGCTTAAGCTAACACATCATGTATGAGACAATGGTAGTCAGAGGAGTTGGTTATGGTTAAACTAAAGCACACAGATCTGGGACCAGCCTAGAAGTGCTCTCTGTTGCTATATAGGCTTGCCTAAGTGTTAATGTACAATACCGGTCAAAAGTTTTATAACACCTACTCATTCAAGGGTTTTTCTTTATTTTTAAAATTTTCTACGTTGTAATAATGGACTGTCGTTTCTCTTTGCTTATTTGAGCTGTTCTTGCCATAATATGGACTTGGTCTTTTACCAAATAGGGCTATCTTCTGTATACCACCCCTACCTTGTCACAACACAACTGATTGGCTCAAACGCATTAAGAAGGAAAGAAATTCCACAAATTAACTTTTAAGAAGGCACACCTATTAATTTAAATGCATTCCAGGTGACTACCTCATGAAGCTGGTTGAGAGAATGCCAAGAGAGTGTGCAAAGCTGTCATCAAGGCAACGGGTGGCTATTTGAAGAATCTCAAATCTCAAATATATTTTGATTTGTTTAACACTTTTTTGGTTGTTTAACACTTTTTTGGTTACTACATGATTCCATATGTGTTATTTCACAGTTTTGATGTCTTCACTATTATTCTACAATGTAGAAAATAGTAAAAATAAGGAAAAACCCTTGAAAGAGTAGGTGTTCTAAAACTTTTGACCGGTAGTGTATGTATGTGAACCTTCATATGAAACCCACTCAAGGTTCCATATGAAGCCTGTCTGTGTATTTACGGACGCTTCCTCCCTACACTGCTTTTTCCTTTACCCACCCACTTGTCCAGATCTGAAACGCTTCTCTGAAGCACGGAGAACCAGCAAACTGTCCACATTTGTCAACTTCCCCATGGAGAAACTGGACCTCAGGGAGTTTGCCTCAGAAAACAGCAGTGAGTACCATCGTCTGTCGAGTAGAATCGTCTGACAATAGCATTGTACTGATTCCTCTCTCTTTTTTCCTGTCCCTTTCCCCCACAGTAGATGCAGTTTATAACCTGTACGCAGTGTCCAATCACTCAGGCACGACCATGGGCGGCCATTACACAGCGTACTGTCGCAACCCCACCTCGGGAGAATGGTACACGTTCAATGACTCCAGGTATGTCTTTCCCTCTCCCTTTATCACACTACACTACCCACAAGGCTTTGCTAGCAAACCATACTGCTCAGAACTGAGCTCATTTAGGTTGAATCGACTGGAAATCTTAGAACACTCTAAATACTCCTGCTTAGGAACATTCAAGCACTCTTCCACCTCACTCCATACACTGTGTACATCCCTAATGGCACCATATTCCCTTTATAGCGCACTACTTTTATCCCTAGTCTGGTCAACAGTAGTGCACCACTATATTCAGTAGGGAATAGGATGACGTTTAGAATGGACTACCACAGTGTAGGACCTGTGTGTAACAAATGATTTGCCAGGCCTCATGTTGAGAGTGCTAGAGCAGAGATTGTCAGGGAGAGGACGTGAAGAGCCTGTCTGTCTGTCGGTCCTGCTGGCTGGCTACACACCATTCACCCAGAGCTACTTACTTCCTTCCTTAATAACAGTACCTCCCCGTAATTCTGTCAAGTGTGCAGTAGCCTACCTCCTCCCTCTCTCTGCCTCCCCCTCTTCTTCTCGCTCTCTCACCTCTCTCCCACTCATTGCCTAGTGAGAGCCTATCTGCTTCTCTCGCTCTCCCAGCAGCCACCTGTCTTCTTTCCCAGTTCCTCCGCTCTCATTCATTATGCAGTTCTCTCTCCCCCTCTCTTTTTCCCCTCCCTTTCCTCCTTTAACCTTCTCTATGTTTAATGCAGAGTATGATACTACCCACGCAATGTTACTCTAAAAACTCCCTGCCGTAAAACTAGTACCATTGTTAGATGAACAACCGTCTGAATACACCATCCATTTTCATGGTTTTGTGACATAATAGTTGAAGGGAACCTCAATATGGTCGTTCCCAGTTCAACATAATAACATTGCTATAATAACATTCTCAATTCGTGTTGCTCGTTACACCGATATAACTGTCTCAACATTGCAGCTCATTCACATGCATCCCTCCCTTCCACTCTCCCCTCACAGAGTAACGCCAATGTCCTCCAGCCAAGTGCGCAGCAGTGACGCCTACGTGCTGTTCTATGAGCTGGCCTCCTCCTCGCGGATGTGAGGGCCTCCCGGAGGAGGAGGGCACTGCGGACGGAGGGAGCCAGGGCCCATTAGGACTAATCACATACAAGAGGCTACTACTCCCGCCTCCCCAACTTCATCCACAACAGAGAGAGGCTACTTTAACTGCTGGACGTCCACCCTCAGACTATGGAAACACTACAGGAATCTGTCATCTTTGCTGTTGCCGTTCAACCCAGCCCTCCTCATTCCACTCACTCTCTCTACTCTCTGTTGGCCTCGCTCTCTCGCTCTGCTCTTGGGGAGCAGGGTGGTCGGAGGAGTCGGCCTGTGCCTGTGTGTGTCTCAGAGAGTGTGTGTGGGTTAGGCTAACACAGGGAAGCATCTCCAGGCAATAAAAACCAAGTGTCTCCGAAGTCCCTCTCTCTATGCACTGCAACAAACCAAACTCTCGTCCCGACTGCACCTTCTTCTCTTCTTCTTGTTCGAGATCGCCTCAATATTAAAATACATTGTTTCAATTAGGATTTTTGTTTTGGATTTTCTTGTTGATTTTTGTATTGGTATTACCACCATCAATCATCACGGTGGAAGATTAACTGAACTGTGTTGCGGCAGCGCCCCCTGCTGACGTGTTGGAGTAGGACAATATGGCGCTGTCTGAAATTCTTCTTACCACTGCTCACACAAACCAGAGTGGCCCCTCTTGCCTACACACTGCAATGTCTCATCCCAGTTTCTCTTTTCAGTTGTTTACAGTACTACTCTGCCCTCTCGCTCTCTTTCTTTCTTTGTCCTGCATCTTCCTCTCTGAAGGTGGGGGGGGGGGGACCCAGGTTGTTCAGAGGATGCCCTGTACCTTGTGTTATTTTTTCAGTGTGGCTGCTACTGATGTTTTAAAGTGCTGTGAATGAAAGGACAATCCAGTACGAACTAATACTATTCATCACAATCATGTCAGTATGGATTTGTTCATCCTCAATTGTCATGCCATTGAACAACATGGAAAGAATGTTTTGAAAAAAACACTATATCTGTCTATTTTTATATTCTGATGCAATATAGAGAATGTACTATACAGTGGTGCTGAAAAGACCCGTTACTGTTTTCAGTTCATTTAACAGGTGAAGGAGAAAGGCTCTTAATTATGCTTACAGGTGACTTCCATGTGAGAGTCATACTTTTTAACAGTGGCAGTCAAAACACATGCATTTATTATATATATAAATTAATTTAAAAAAGTGGCTTTTAGTTTCGCATTTCGTGTTGTGTTCATGTTAAATCAGTTATGGGTTATATATATTTTACATTACAGACACAAGAGTGACATTGTGCTGCCAAGGCACATAGTCCTTACAGACCCTGGATGCCTGTGCACGTATTTTTTAATATTCAGGTTATAAAATACCTAGCTTTTATTGGGGCGGATAATAGAGCAAACAGTACTTCACCTACATTTGATTATCATCTAAATCTATTATATAGGCACCCTATGTTGTGGCTTTAAAATGGTCGCAGACCGTGGTTGCAATGGTTTATTGGTTATAGCATGGTGCCAACTCCACCAGTTTTATGGGTTAAATTCCCGCTTGGTTAACATACTGAATGTGTCACTGTCAATGTTGACAGTTCTGTAATCTCATTCACCAAACACTTCCTCCCAATGCCCATAACAAAGATATTGGTAACGTCCCCTTTCAGCTGCTATACACAATTAGCCTGGGGACGAGGTTAACAGTTCTGTTGCTATGGATAAAAGCGTCTGCTAAATTACCATATTGATAACAAACCACCAAGTTCATCCAATGTTGTAAGTCCACTTGATTGACATGTATTCTAAAATGATTTCCCTGTATTGAGAACCGCCCCCTCCTCCTCCTCCTCCTCCACCTCCCCCTCCCCCCAACCATTCAACACTTTGTTTATGGGAATCCCAGACTTGCCTCCTGGACTGACGTGTTGATCTGTTAGCTCAGGCCTATTTCTGTAGCCTATGGATTTCACTGTCCTGCCGAGGGCTGATACCATGTAAGTACAACACCCAGGAATAGTTCTGCTCACTCTACCCCCTGGTTACAATGGATGACATCCCTCAACAGAGAATACTGGGAGGAGTCATTCTTAAATACGTAATAGGATGTTAATCATACAGAATAAGAAGGAAGAAAAGTTGTATCTCTTTTGCTTGAAATATATATATATATATATATATATATATATATATATATATATATATTAGTATATTAGTATATTCACTGAGTATACCAAACATTAGGAACACCTTCCTAATATTGACTTCAACTGGATTCACCTGGTTAGTCTATGTCATGGAAAGAGCAGGTGTTCCTAATGTTTTGTATACTCAGTGTTAATTGACTTGAATCGACCCACTTATGACACGCCTGGTTGGTTGCATATTAACTAGAACAGCTTCTGAAGAATTGTAAAGTGTAATTTGGAACGGTTATGAATGCTTTGGGCATGACTGGGCTACGATACCACTTATCATAGGGTGGGTTTGTTATACAAATAAATGGCTACTATTAAAGCAAATGGGAGGTACCGTCTTCACAATGTACCAGGTTGGAGAAGAGAAGAGATTTTCTGTTATCGCCGGAACGTAAGTCATCGTGAACACGGGAGCATGGACTTGGCTGTTGCAATCTACTGCACTTCTCAATTGTAACAAAGAATGGCACGTTCAAATGGCAGCTCACAGTTTAACCACTCTCGTTAAGTCTGACTGTTATTCTATTCTTGTATCATTAATAGTGCCACACATGCATTAGCTATAATAAGATCATACGTTGTTACTCAAAATGAAAGCATAAATAGATATAAAAATACGTTTGAGGCGCGTTTAACTTTTTAACTCCCTATTAGGTAAAGACCCATGTATTTCAAAGCTGACCCTGCTTTTACTTGGAGAGACTGAGTGGAAAGAGCTCAGTAGGGAACACCATATTGGGAAAGAGGGAATTTCATACAGGGGTAATGACAACTCACAGCTCCAAGAGGAAGGGCACTGTTGCTGGAAGACAGGTGACGGTGGTGGACACGCCTGGATGGTACAAGCCCCTCTGTTCCCTGAGGCTCCATGCCATCCTCCTGCTGGTCTCTGCCACATGGGACTTCAGTCAGGGAGAATGGAGGACCATCTGAGGCAGATCCAGACCCCTATCTGGCAGAGAGCTATAGTGCTCCTCACCCATGGAGCTGGGATACCAGGAGGAACCACCGTCGAGGAACACATCCAAAGGAAGGGCAAGAGTCTGCTGTGGCTTGTGGAGAGGTGTGGGAACAAGTTCCATGTTCTGGACAGCCAAGCCAGGGACAAAGAGGTTCAGGTCCAATTGCTGTTGGAGAAAATGGATAGGATGGTGGAGATAAATAGCCGCCCAAGGGAAATACAGGAGAGGTTGTACAGCCAGGTGAGAGAGAGCTTAAGGATGGATGGAGGGAAACAGCAGGGAGAGGACATGGACATTCTTGTCATGCAGGACATGAGGACAAGGCAGAACCAGCAGGTCACAGCAGTGGTACCCATAGGTAAGTGCTCTGCTCTCACAAGGCTCAATGATGAGCTGGGGTGTAAAATTGCATGTTTGTGGCAAAGGTTAAAGAACACGATTGCAAATAGAGAACATTAGGCTACTTAGTAGCATTGCATAATTGCACAGGCTATATTGAGATGTTTTTGTTTCTTTCTGACAGAGACATCCAAACGTAGGCCAGCTGCGTTTGGCCTTGTGCTGCTGGGAAGAAGATTTTCTGGGAAGAATTCAGCAAGAAATACCATTCTTGGCAGACCAGAGCAAAAGAACAGTGCAGTGTGTGGTGGGACAGGGAGAGGTGGAAGGGAGGACAGTCACAGTGGTGGACACTCCCGGTTGGAGTCTCTACGGTCTGTCCAACCCGAAGCAGGTCAGACTGGAGATGAGGCAGTGCATCCCTGTGCCCCTATGGGGTAGTTAGTATGTTCCTCTTGGCCATACCTGTTGACTACTTCTCAGAGAAGATAGGCGTGCTGTGGAGAAATAGCTGAGTGTTTTGGGTGAGGGGGTATGGAGAAGCACCATGGTGCTTTTCACCTATGGTAATGAGTTAAGAGGCAGAACCATTGAGAAGCACATTGAGGAGACTGGAGTGCCCCTCTGTGGGCTGCTGGGGAAGTGTGGTCACAGGTACCACATCTTAGATAACAATATTAAGGGCGACCTAACCCAGATTCTTGAGCTGTTGGAGATTGTGGAGCAGCTGTAGATACTGGATCATTCACCTCTGCTGAAAACACCCTGTTATATGAAATGTTTTAAATTATACATTGATGTTATTTGCGATAAAATTATTTAAAGTATGTTCTTGTATGGCCTAATCTAAAACAATGTTTGTTTTCTCTGTATCCAGTCAAATAACTTAAAGGTCCGGTTCAGTCAAAGACGTAATTTTAATATATATTTCCACACGAGGTTGGAATAATACTGTGAAAATTATGATAACGCCCTTTTAGTGTAAGAGTTGTTTGAAAAGACCACCTGAAATTTCTGCCTGTTTTGGTGGGATGGAGTTTGGGTATTTCCATGGTGACATCACCATGCTGTAATTTGACTTACCTTGATTAGACTATAATTTGGTTCAAGCCCTGTCCCTCTGTAAGTATACCAACACAAGCTTTACATTCATAAAATGTGTCGAGTAAATTGCCACAGTAGATTCTCTCTGGTAAACGAGGAAATACCTACAAATCAATTTCAAAGGAATTTATAGTTGTCAAATAGTTGCATCTGTGCTTAGTATGCTCAAATATTAGGTTTACTTTACACCGAACATAATACCACCAGGGGGCTAAATAGTTTTGAAAAATGTTGGCAGCAAACAGTGCAGTCAACATTCAGTTTTTCCTGTGTTTTGTATCACATTGTACAACAGCTGATGAAACTAACACTGTAAAAGTGAATGTGATCAGTGTTGTTCCCTGATAGTTGCTGGTTGAAATACCATCAACACAGGAACTTCTAAATCAGCAGGTTTGCATGAGCGGGAGTTTTGTCTTTCCATGGTGACATCACCATGTGGTAAATTGGTTAATAGAGTACCACAGTACGAGTCATAATACCCATAAAATCTAGCGGTCAAACAAGGAAATGGTTCCAATCATTTTTCTACCATTCATTTTTCCCATAGGGGATTTTAGAAACATTTAAAATAAGGGCTGTGTTTCGTGTATGCTTACCCTGGCGTGACGTTTTGATAACCGTGTAAATCTCTCTAGGACAAGGTGACTTTTATCAATATATTCCCCTGTATTTACTCCCCAAAAATGAAATGCTAATTAGCTGCTAATGTGGCTATCATAAAGAACTACAAATGCCACTATGATCTGGACGAGACTGCCGAATCGAGGCAAAGGTAAGAATCTCTGGATTAACTATCTAATGTTAGCTACATTTAGTAATGAATAAATTGGCAATTCTGTGAACTGTCTTGTGCAAGTTTTAAATGTACACAATCCCTGCTAGCAAAGGTGTCAGCTAGAGATGACGTGAAGGAGCTTGCAGGGATTTGTAGTTTTGCATGATGTCTACTTTGATGCTAATTACCATTTTTCGAATCTGATAATAAATTGAGCCGAATATATTGATAAGTCACCTTGTTCAAGAGAGATTTACATGGTTATCAAAACGTCACGCCAGGGTAAGCCTACACGAAACACAGCCCTTATTAAGTGTTTCTAAAATTCCCTATGGGAAAAATGAATGGTGGAAAAATTATTGGAACCATTTTCCTGTTTGACCGCTAGGTTTTATGGGTATTATGACACCTCCGCTGTGGGGCTCTATTGACCAATAACAAAGAGTTCCAAACCTCTCTGCCAATAGCAGTTAGATTTCAGTTTTTCCCTCCCCAATCAGACCATTCCCAGACAGTCCTAGCAAAATTCATACTTGAGAAATAGTTTTTTGCCAGAAATGATTTGATAATGATATAAAAACAGCTGCGTTGGGCCTTTAACACCAACATCAGCTTTAGGGAGCGGTAATTTGGTGGCCAATACAGGTTGCAATTGAGATCAGCTGCACATATTGATGGTTTAATGAGAGATCACCTCGAGACAGTGCTCAATGTTAGTTGCAATTGACCCTGTAGACCTCTGTGGTTCTCTACCTGCTCACTCATATTTCGAGCTTGTGGCTGGTTAATGCAAATGTATTATGTTGGCTTGTGGCACTGTATTTTTCCCAGGGCTGTTCTTCATAACCAGGAAACTGCTTAAATCAGCTTTTAAAAGTTGGAATGATGCAGATGTGGTTGCGGTCAGTGAAAGGTAGGCTTTATTGCATGAATAGTTACGTATGCATAACCTAGCTATTTCTTGTCCTTGAATGACTTTTAACTAATAATTGACAACATGTATTTGAGTGAGTGTTTGAACTCCTGATCATTCTATCAGAACCAATAAAAAAAAAAGTATTTGTGCAATTTCATGGCCTTATCGTATCTCATCTGTTCACAAGGTTGCTGTCCTCTGTCCATGCCACTCCACTACTATTGTTGGGTTCAACATTGCTACTGCCTCCAGTGATGTGATGTCTGACAGGTAAAAATTAATATTTGGATTATTGCCACTAAACCAGCAATCATCACGTGTAGTGATTGAGTGATCTCCTCCCTTCTCCTCTGAGTGGGAATTTAACCAGTGATACTTTGTTTGGCAGCTGAGTGCACTACCACCACTGCCATAAAAACAAGCGTTTTTGGGACAGAGGCCGTAGTACACTCAGATACAAGACTGACATGTACAAATGCCCATCACCAGAGATCTCTAGAGGCTAAACTGAGTACAACTTCCCACCCTACTGCAGGCAGCACAACATCTTAACACTAAGTCACATCTTAACACTGTGGTCAATTTACACAACCACTCCTTATCAGCAGGGTTTTGCTGTGTTTATTTCCTTAGTGACTGAAACTGTACCTCAATTATTCATAGTCCTCCATACATGATCATCTCATACCAAACACTGTATTCACATCACAGGGCACAGGTTATACATTAGAATGGGAAGGCTTCTAGGTGCACTGTGCACTAGCATTAGTATTATATAGCCTTATTAGCCTACACATGATATCTGACTAGTCAGCTGGCATTGATGATCAGTTTATGATGCATTTTGTCATCGCTCAAGAATGAAACTTTATGATACTTGCCTCAATACTCCAAAGTTGCACTTGGTGGAGGAAAATGATTCAGTGATTTGATAGGGATGAGGCCACATTTGGTTGTATTTTTAGTGGTAACTAACACTACAAAAATTAAGTGGATATGTGCTCACCTTCATCATGATCCTTATGTATGTCACCTTCATCTTTAGCCACAGACTGTGTGGTTTGGCGCTCCTTGCATGTCTTATATCTACACCATGTATCTGAGTAACTACCACAGTCAAAAGGTCAAAGGGCACGAGGCGTACAAAAAGCACTCCCTTTTTACCATCAAGCTGTTCCTCCTCCGGCATCCCCTGCTGGTGGTCCATCACATGGTCCTCCTCACGGTCTTCATGCCCATCACTCTGGTGAGGAAGGAGCACAACAATTACTGTACAGTAACTTTAGTTCTTTGTAGTCCTCATGCGTTACGTCAGCAGTTTATATATTTTTTTACTGCATGATTTAATTGATTTCATGTCAATTGTTTACGACGCATGTGACAAATAACATTGGATTTGATGACAACACCAGGCAGCTATTGCAAGTGTACCCATGAGTTGACCAGTCAAATTGCCAGGATTATAGGCTCCAAGCCTGTTCTATTCATTCTGATGTCTATGCCCATGAGTTTACCGGAATGAATACACCAGAGGTAGAGAATGGTGCTGTTCCAGGTGGTCTACATAGCAGTTACACTGCAAGCAGCCACCAATGATTGCATGACATGTTACTGATGGCGTTCCACATCATCACACTGCCATCATTATGCTAGCTAAAGTTAGTTGCAAAGTTAGGCTGAAAAGTTTTGCCACCAGCTCCTCCTTGGTTGGTTTTTCAACCGGTGCAATGTTGGGAGTTAGGTCTGGTGTGTCAACTTTGTATATGATCAGTTTATCTTCCCGCCGCTTGATAGCCTGCTGGACCAATCGGGTTTTAAAGTTCAATTTCTTCTGTTCAAACACTTATCTACCTAGTTCTTGGCCTGTTTGGAATACTTCACATGGCTTCTGGATCTACTGAAAGATGTGTAACAGAATTACAAACAAAATGTAAATGAGTCCTAATTAGTCTTTCCTTGCATCCTCCTGAAAAAGTATTGGAGGAGGCATGAGTGGAGGAACATTGGGTCCGCTCTTTGAGAAGGGTGTGAAAAGGATACAAAGATAGAAGATGTGAGAAATTGAACAAAGATAAAATCCAAGACTGTATGGTTCAATGTCCTATCCTCATGTCTGTTCCACCACCCATCTCCTTCTTACATTCCCTCCCAGGTAGGTAGAAACAAAGAGTGATTGGTGATGTTGTCTGGTATAAAACAGAGAGTCAGTCATTGCATGTAAATTCAGGGCATGAGCTGATATTCTAAATGTTTTAATTTAAATAATGTAAGGTTGGGTTAGTTTGTTGTCATTACAACTCACGCACCAACTACGGCCAGAGCCATATATTTATTTATATGGCTCTGTCTAGGGCTGTGTCCTACTCATGGACCTTAACTAGGGCAAGTAATTTTATGCAATCAATAGCACTACAGAAAACTGATGCCTAGTATAAAATAATATACTATTTATTATCAGTAACGTTATAATGAAAAAGGGAATTGCGTCACAAAGCTAAATAAACAAAGCAGTCAGTAGGACAGGATAACGTCACCGTCACAGAGGTAGCTAAGCTAAAAACACCACAAATGAGTTCAGTGAATGGCAAAAAAATACCGTTATAAATTACTTTGTGGTTACTAGCTACAGGTATTAGCAACTTAGCTAGCAACATACCTTGAATGGTTGGAGCTTTCCCGTCTATGGCGGAAAGACGGTGGGAGCAGAACCCGGTTTCAACCGGTCCCTTTTGTAGTCAGTGGCCACAAAGTGATCACTGGACACGGTCAACATCCAGCAGGTGAATGACTTCAGGCGTCGTATCGACACCATAAGCACAATGCTCCATCGCGGTCAGTAAAAGAGTGGAAATGTTTAGTGTATTTGTATCTCAATGCACTTTTGGCCAACTTCACTCAGCTTCTTGACTACTAACGTTATTCGACTTACTTTACTTCAGCCTCGCTAGCTACCATCTCTGTTTACTTCATTTCGTTCTGATTTCCTTCCTTGAAGAACAATAGTAAGACGCTCATTCGTCCCGCCTAATGTAATTATCCATTTTAGAACCACGAAGAAGAGTATCTACCGGGTTACATACTATATGGAAGACCTTTCCGGTCTTTGTTTTTAATACTTTTTACATTAAACACCACATTTATTTGGCAATTCAATGCCTCGACACCAAACGTTGTTTATGTAACAATAAATACACCGTTTTTAATACATTTTTAGGTAATTTCGGGAAATTCTGCATTTTTATATAAAAATGTGTATGGGTGGTCCCGGGGATCGAACCCACTACCTTGGCGTTACAAGCGCCGTGCTCTACCAGCTGAGCTACAGAGGCTGTTTGAATAATAACAGGTTTTATCCAGGCTTCTGGTAAAAATCTATGAATTTGACATTCCTAACATCACACACTCACAACAACACCCTGTAAGACTGTCAGTCTGGTCCAGCCAGCATTGAACGTTGCAATGGAACGGGAATGTCTGTCATTCTAATTCTACAACGTCTCCATTCTATTATTCTACAGGAGAGGTGATGGAGCACTAGCTAAAGCCTGAAGGTCTGGAGGGGAGATAGAGAAGATAGGATGATAGGAGAGGAGTTTCTGTATTTCTGGAAGAACAAGACAATGGAATGGATGGAGTCTAAAGGCTGCCCCTTGATAGCCTGACCAGTCTACTATCTGGTCCGTCTTCTCTAGTCTTTAATGACAGGCTCTAGTGGCCTAACCTCGGACCTCTTCTAGTGTAGGGTTTCTTGTGTAAAAGGTTACTATAATGGTGGAATTTTCGTAATGCAAATTAATTGTCAAAGCGCAAATATTGGGCTTTGACATGCACTGCATCTTAGTACTTGAGGCGTCACTACAGATCCCCTGGTTCGATTCCAGGCTGTATCACAACCGGACGTGATTGGGAGTCCCATAGGGCGGCGCACAACTGGCCCAGCGTCGTCCGGGTTTGGCTGTCATTGTAAATAAGAATTTGTTCTTAACTGACTTGCCTAGTTAAATAAAGGTAAAATAAATACTGTTAACCTCATAATAGTCTGGCCGTAAGGCTCTGGTCTAACGTAGTGCAGGGAACAGTGCCATTTGGGAGGCAGCTATGAATTCCTTAAGGTGTCTTGTGTAAGATGGTCCTTTATGTACAGGTATACAAACTGTTGTTTTATCACTCCGTATTCCTTAGTCTCCTGTGAAAATGACATCCAGATATAGATTCTACAGACCTTACTGAGTACTTCCAATCCCACTTTAACCTCGGCACAAATAATTGTTTAAAAAAAATCTTTAATCAAATGTTTTCCATATACTGTGTATTGCACATGTCAAACTCATTCCAAGGAGGGCCCAGTGTCTGCGGGTTTTCGCTCCTCCCTTGTACTTGATTGATGAATTAAGGTCACTGATTAGTAAGGAACTCCCCTCACCTGGTTGTTTAGCTCTTAATTGAATGGAAAGACTAATAACCAGCAGACAATAGGCCCTCCATGGAATGAGTTTAACACCCCTGGTGTATTGCATTGGGGGCAATGGAATAGGTGGAGTACGAAATATTTAGACCACATTCCCCATAAAGAGACCCTACTTATAAGTACTTCCAACCCCGCTTTTATTTCTGCACAACAACAACAAAAAACATTATTGTAAACCAGTCTCAACATATTTTTTTACAAATTAGTTATTTTAAATACCATATTTTATTGTTTTCATAAATATTTCTCAATATTTTCATATAGTCCTTGTTGCATTTGCACAATACAAATGGTCATTGATTAATTGTAATACGTTTTTGAAATCGACATTGCAATGTTTTGAAATGTGGGCTTTTATTTTGAAGGTTTCCTCATTGAAAAAACAGGAAAGTCTCCGCACACTTCCAGTCAAATGCAACATTATTTTAATAGTAGTTGAGCTCAGCTACAATAAATCTGCATATGCAGTGTGAATACCCGCAAGTACGGTTCTCTTCCTGCTTCCTCGTATTTCGACGGTACAGCTGGTTAATGCGAGTGTATCATGTTTATGTTCGGTTGTGGTACTGTATTTTTCCCAGGACTGTTCTTCATATCCAGGAAACTGCTTAAATCAGCTTTCAAAAGTTGGAATGATGCAGATGTGTTTGCGGTCAGCGAAAGGTAGGCTTTATTGCATTAATATTTCCTATGCATAACCTAGCTAGTTCTTGTCCTTGAATTACTTAACTAGTAACTGAGAAAAGGTATTTCAGTGAGCAGATTTCTAGTTTTATCAAAACAACTCCGGAGATCAATCTATCAGAACTGAACCACAACCTGGATTTACAGGAGACATTTAATATGCCGATTCTCCTTTAAACCCAGGAGCCATTCAACATGCAATTCACCAGCCTTTCAAGCTTAATCATGTCAAAATACGTTCGGTACTTACCAAAGAATGCAGTTTCAGTGAATAACTATCGTCATTAGAGCCTTCACGGCCGATGGACTAAATAAAGTTATATGCAACCGGAAAAATGCCTGAAAATAATATTATTTTTGACCAAGTGTGCATGGGCCAAATACCTCTTCGTTACCTAGTGCAATATTAGTAATGGAATTAAAATGCACGAAATAAAGCGGATCTAGAGATATACTATAACGTACCTTATTATCTACTTAACCCTTTAACTGGCACACCAATAAATACATAAAACAATTTGTTTGATATTTTAAATTCATTTTAGAACCAATGAAAAACCAATTGTGTGCACTTTCATATCCTCATCTCATATATTCCATCTCATCACAAGGTTGCTGTCCTCTGTCCATGCCACTCTGGCTACCATTGTTGGCTTCATAATTGCGACTGCCTCCAGTGATGTGATGTCTGACAGGTAAGAATTCCTATTTAAATGATTGTCATTAACCAGCAATCATCACGTGCAGTGATTGAGTAATTTACTCCCCTCTCCTCTGAGTGGGAATTTAACCAGTGATACTTTGTTTGCTGGCTGAGTGCACTACCACCAGTGCCATAAAAACGAGCTTTTGGGGCAGAGGCAGTAGTACACTGATAGATACAGGACTGACATGTACAAGAGCCTATCACCAGAGTTTTCTCTAGAGGTTAAACTTAGTACAAGCTTTTAAGGTCATGAACAGTCAATTTGACTGTAGGGTCTCAGCAAATATAATTAAAAGTTTATCCTATTTATCTATGGCAAAGATACTTATGTTTCCCCTTTCATCTGTGTCTGGGGTTAGCTAGTTACTGGCTAGCTAGGGCGAGCTCATGAATATAAGTTTCCTGCCCAGCCGGTCTTTTCAAACTTCCTGATAGTTAGCCATGAGAGGAAAAATGACTAATGAAATTTTTAGCATTTCTATCCAAAACAAATATTATGGGTGATTTATTTTAGTCACTCAAAATATTATTTTACATGGGAATCAGAATAACTGTTCGGGACCTTTTTAAATAAATGTAAAAATCCAGGTCATGTGACATGATTGACCAAAACACAGGGCCATATTGATATTATTTAGCTCAAGTTGAATTGGGTTGAGGAAGAGGATGCAGTGTTAAAAAAAAAATATATATATATATATAAGGATGAGGCCAAATTTGTATTTGTTTCACTGGTTAAATTGTCAGTTTTAACTCGCACACATCCAGTGTAATTGCTTACTTTAGTCATGATTCTAATGTACCGGTATGTCACCTTCTTTAGGCACAGACTGACCAATGAATTTGTGTGGTTTGGCGCTCCTTACATGGCCTTTGATATCTACGCTATGTATCTGAGTAACTACCACAGTGAAAAGGTCAAAGGGCACGAGGCGTACAGGAAGCACTCCCTCCTTACCATCAAGCTGTTCCTCCTCCGGCATCCCCTGCTGGTGGTCCATCACATGGTCCTCCTCACGGTCTTCATGCCCATCACTCTGGTGAGGAAGGAACACAAACACTACTGGACAGTAACGTTAGGTCTGACGTGTTACATCGGCTGTTGAAATTTGTGACTATAGTCCAGTTTCTGTTATTGAGAATCTGCCGTGTCCTCCTCAAGCTGGGCTGTGCTCAATGAGTTAGTGTTTAATATTCATAGTGCTGAGTTTTTTTTCTCAGTTCCTCAGGACAGGTCTAGGTGGAGACTTCTTCATTGGCTGTTTCTTTATGGCAGAATTCAGCACTCCCTTTGTCTCATTAGGAAAGGTTCTGATCCAGGTAAGGCCACATCCAGATTAATAAACCCCTTTGTTTTTTAGTTGTGCTTTAGGAAGTCTGTTGAGCATAGTATGAATTGTACTATAACTCGCTGTACAATCAGTAAACATTCCCAATGTTTTCCTCTCTAGTTGGGACTAGAGGACTCATGGCTTCACAGAGTCAATGGTGTGATGGTTCTGCTGAGTTTCTTCACCTGCCGTATCCTGCTCTTCCCCTACATGTATTGGGTGTATGGTCAGCAGTACACCATCCCCTTCCACAAAGTGCCTTTCCATCTACAGCTCCACTGCAACTTAGCCAACCTAACCATACTGGCACCTCAGATCTACTGGTTTGTGCTGCTGTGTCGCAAGGCCTATCGCCTCTACCTGCGTCAGACTAGGTCAAAGGGTCAACCTGCTCACAAAGATGGCTCAAAAACAGATTAGAGATGCCATCTAATTCTGTGGTTAGCAACATGTAATGTCAATTATGCTTGCTTTGATGCTTGTCTTCCATGTCATGAGTTATTTCAATCCTTGCCTCTGAAGGAACGGTTTGTGTGGAATTTAGGACCTGCAACTGCCTATGAATACAAAACGACTGGTATTTATAAAAATTCTCAGGGGTCAGACATACTGTGTTATAATGTCTGTTCTATTACTATGTAGCTTGTGCAGGAAATATTTCGTGATTTTGAATTATTCTTTCTACCTGAAAGAGTTTGACACTGGCTAATCAGGATAACTTTATCCCCAAATTATTTTTCATAGTTAACTAAAATATTTAAATATGTTGCACTAGAAAATACAGATTTGACATAGACAAATGAAATAGAGGTGAAGCACTGAAAGACCAAGCTTTTTGGTCAAGTTGTAACCCTTTCTTGTGTTCTAGTGTGGATGATCAAAGTTTGTTTCAATATGTAAGTTTTGATTTAATAAACCATTGAAAGACATGCAATTTGTCAGTTTCATTCAAAATGTATTTTATTTTAACACAAGGTCAGAACACTTATTTGAGGCTGGGAACAATAAACCTTCATTCAAGTGCTGTCTTAAAGTACATCAACCTGAAGATGACAGCTGAGCAATTTTCTGATGCAACACAGCCTTCATCTCGGCGCTCTCCAGGTTGTCTGTGATTGTGGTGAAGAAGTGGCGAGTGTTCTCGGTCTCCAGGTGGGAGCTGCTGCTGGGGTGGGCGGCCAGCACTGCCACGTAGTGGGTCAGGATCTCCAGGGCACACAGGAACAGGGACTCGCACTGCCCGCTGGGCATCATCACCTAAACGTGCTGCACATGGCAGAAGAGCTGGCTCAGTACAAACAGCACCTCCTGGCTGGCGGTGTTGGTAGCTGTCCTCTCTTTGGGTGAAGTGGAAGTGTTGGAGGAAGACTGTGACAGCTTTCCCCTCAGGGACTCTATGACCTCCCTCATGGCGCTGACGTACAGCCGCCCCACGTGGGCCCAGCCCTGTCCAGGCAGCCAGTCTTTGCAGCTGGAGTCACAGAGCAGCTGGAGGTCATGCAGCATGGACAGACGCAGCTCGCAGGAGAATGCCCACAGGTCCAGCAGGGGGAGAAAGTCCACATACTCCAGAAAGTAAGGCACGTGGAGCCAGCCTGAGCGGAGCAGCTCTTGCATGGCTCTCAGCAGCGTGCCCCAGGGTAGGGTCTGTGACACGGCCACCAGCAGACTTGCGCTTGAGCCTTTTACTTTAGGTTTGGTCAACCAGCTTCAAACAGAAGTAAAAACTATAAAAAACATATTTCACAGCAATTTAGTACAATGATTCCCTAAACTATCCAGTGCTTGTTTTCTGAAATTGAGCGAACAGTGCAGAATTTAAGCAACCAGGAAATGACAGAGCGATTTCTACATTGGCCACTTGACCCGATTTCCACTAGATAACACAGCCAAAGTCAAAACAGCTTTCCCATGTTGACATGGCAACATCAGATACTGCTCTGGCAGAATAAATCAATACACGAATATCATAGCCAATCACAACAGTGGAGGGTAAGTAATACTGTGAAACACACCATCATTCCACTATTACTGCAGATATATTATGGATATTTCTGAAATTATAATGCAAAAATTCTTAATAAACATGTGTGGCACCTTTTAAATGGTCACCTCTATTCTATTATCTATATTTCTATGATTTCAATAGGTTTCCTATGGATGATTAACAGTATAATTTAAAACAACTGATATTCCCATTCAAGTCAACATTCTCTTATGTGTGGACCTCCAACCACCTTTGTGGTACCATTTGAAAGTTGACATTTCAACGTATTAGTACATTATCAGCCAAAACATGACAACCACCCTGTATTCAAGAGCATGTTGTGTCAACCTACGGCAGTCACAAGACTACCTCAGATGATGTAAAATAGGGTGTAAGGTACAACATGTGAATATGACAGTTATTATTATACATTTTTAAAAAGTAATTATAAAATAGTTTGACAACCCTGTTTTGTAAACTTTTAAGTGATATCAATGTCAACCGTTTATTTAAAAACAAATTGTGATGAAGACATTCGGAAAGTATTCAGACCCCTTGACTTTTTCCACATTTTCTTACGTTACAGCCTTATTCTAAAATTGATAAAATAGTTTTTTTCCATCAATCTACACACAACCCCATGATGACAAAGCGAAAACAGGTTTTTAGAAATGTTTGCAAATGTATTAAAAGTAAAAAAACAGATACCTTATTTACATAAGTATTCAAACCCTATGCTATGAGACTCGAAATTGAGCTCAGGTGATTCCTGTTTCCATTGATCATCCTTGGAAATGATTTGGAAAGGCACACCTGTCTATATAAGGTCCCACAGTTGACAGTGCATGTAAGAGCAAAAACCAAGCCATGAGGTCGAAGAAATTGTCCGTAGAGCTCCGAGACAGGATTGTGTCGAGGCACAGATCTGGGGAAGGGTACCAAACATTGAATGTCCCCAAGAACACAGTGACCTCCATCATTCTTAAATGGAAGAAGTTAGGAACCACCAAGACTCTTCCTAGATTGGCTGCCTGGCCAAACTGAGCAATCAAGGGAGAAGGGCCTTGGTCAGGAGGTGACCAAGAACCTGATGGTCAGAAACTTCCAGAAGGACAACCATCTCTGCAGCACTCCACCAATCAGGCCTTTATGGTAGTGGCCAGACGGAAACCACTCCTCAGTAAAAGGCACGACAGGCCGCTTGGAGTTTGCCAAAAGGCACCTAAAGGACTCTGACCATGAGAAACAAGATTCTCTGGTCTGATGAAACCAAGATTGAACTCTTTGGCCTGAATGCCAAGCGTCACGTCTGGAGGAAACCTGGTACTATCCCTACAGTGAAGCATGGTGGTGGCAGCATCATGCTGTGGGGATGTTTTTCAGCGGCAGGGACTGGGAAACTAGGATCGAGGGAAAGATGAATGGAGCAAAGTACAGAGAGATCCTTGATGAAACCCTGATCCAGAGTGCTCAGGACCTCAGACTGGGGCAAAGGTTCACCTTCCAACAGGACAGGGACCCTAAGCATACAGCCAAGACAACGCAGGAGTGACTTCGGGACAAGTCTCTGAATGTCCTTGAGTGGCCCAGCCAGAGCCCGGACTTGAACCCGATCGAACATCTCTGGAGAGACCTGAAAATAGCTGTGCAGCGACGCTCCCCATCCAACCTGAAAGAGATTGAGAGGATCTGCAGAGAAGAATGGGAGAAACTCCCAAAATACAGGTGTGCCAAGCTTGTAGCGTCATACCCAAGAAGTCTCGAGGCTGTAAACACTGCCAAAGGTGCTTCAACAAAGTACTGAGTAAAGGGTCTAAATACTTATGTAAATGTGATATAAGTTTTTTATTTGTAATACATTTGCAAAAAAATTTAGAAGCCTGTTTTTGCTTTGTCATTATGGGGTAGTGTGTGTAGATTGAGGGGGATTAAACAAATTAAAAATAATAATAATAATTCCATTTTAGAATAAGGTTCTAATATTTTGCCATTCAGGTCCAAAAAGTCACTTTCTGAGCACTTATACAATGGGCAAATATGTATTAAAGGTTAAGTTCAAATCAAAAGTAGTGTTGTCAAAAAGTGATTCAATTCAAATGGTTTTACCCCAACACATAGCAACACATTTCACTACAGGTACTACTGACAGTAAATAATGTGTATTCACAGCTAGTTCTGCAAATACATACAGCTAACATGTTATAGCTATAAACAAAGAAAATGCATTCAGCTCAAATCTCATAGCTATCTTGATTCATCATTGTGTTTGGGTGAGGCGCAGTTTAGCCTTCAAATGTCCTTTCTTTCATCCACTCTGGACGCAATTGCACGTATACATTTTTGTTCAATTAATTATCCTACTAATTTTAATAAAAAGACAAGTAAGTTAATACTTTAACTAGATACTTACTTGCAAAGGCGATATTACAAGAAACCAATCAAAGAAACGTGTAGACTTTTTTCCCCGATAATTCAAAACAACTCGTTGTCCGCATCAACGTCACGTGGGATGGATTTTTTTTTTTGAAGAGCGGCAAAATGTATTTTCATGACTTTACAGCGACACTCATGGTATGGATGTATAGGGGGGGATTGTTTAGTTGCAGTAGCATGTTTTGGTTTTAATATTGTTTTGTCTCGTAGTTTTTAACACTTTCCTCCTAATTCACATATTATCTGATATTAATTTACTATTACAAGCCATTGTAAAAATTGAACGTTAACATGTCTTACAGACAGCTGCACGAGCAGGTTCTATATTTTTTCACTTGCTTCAAGTTGCGTAAATGAAAGTGAAAGTTCTTGGAGTCCGAATGGCACAGGGAAAGATAGCTCCAGAAGACAGTTTTGTAACATGAGTTTAAACGTCAATATTGTTCTCTGTTTATTTATCTGTGCAGGTAGGCTACTTTATGACCTATTTTTGCGAGTATATCTCTTTCAGCTGATGGTTTCACGCATGCTGTGCTCATTCAGAGTTCTTATGAATGGATTATTTGTTAGCCTATAATTATGATTGATTTTTAAAGGTGAAGTTAAATTTAAACTCTCATTGTGATTATTCTACTTATTCATCGATTTGACAGAGGTGCCAGGAATCCAGTCTTTCGAACAGGTGCCTTGGCTGCCCTGTCAGCTGGTGGATGAACGTGTCAAGTTCAATGATGAGGGACATGCTGAAACCCAGTACCAACACAGAGACGCTGGGCTGCAGTTTGGCCATCCAGGGGACAGTGCTTTGAACCCAAATACCATCACCTTCCTTGTAACAGGTGAATAAGAGAAACAGCAAAACAAATGTCAGATTTGGTTATGTGTTCTACAGTGATGGTTAATGTTTGGTGTTTCAACACTGAGAGGTGCTCTTCAAACCGTGTGTGTGTTCAGGCTCTAAGGTGGACATGAGGAAGTACATTGAAGGGGCAGTAGTGGAGCACCAGGTGCGGTGTGAGATCCGCAGGTACAGCACAGAGGGCATCCAGATGCGTTGGCCAGGTTTAGGAGCCCAGGAGCACGACATCTGGTTCACCTGCACCTTACGGCACACCGACGGCCTTTTTGTCATCACCAGCTTCCTCAGACACACCCCTGCCACGCCCACACCTGGCCAGGCAGACTACCGCAACTGGGCCGCCATCGCAGACAGAGAGACGCTAACCACCTCAAGTAATGCAGACTTTTCATTCTATCTCTTTTTATGCAGTAGATCACGTCAAACTCATTCCACGGAGGGCTGAGTGTCTGCGAGAGTATGCTTGATGATGAATTGATTAGTTGAATCAACTGTGTTAGTGCTAGGGCAAACATGTACACCCCTTGGGAAGCACAGCTCTAGTCTGTGACAATGTCAGTGTTTCCTTTTATACCCTTGTTTATTTACTTTAGGTAGTTATCTTGTTATGATCTACAGTGAGGGAAAAAAGTATTTGATCCCCTGCTGATTTTGTACGTTTGCCCACTGACAAAGAAATGATCAGTCTATAATTTTAATGGTAGGTTTATTTGAACAGTGAGAGACAGAATAACAACAAAGAAATCCAGAAAAACGCATGTCAAAAATGTTATAAATTGATTTGCATTTTAATGAGGGAAATAAGTATTTGACCCCCTCTCAATCAGAAAGATTTCTGGCTCCCAGGTGTCTTTTATACAGGTAACGAGCTGAGATTAGGAGCACACTCTTAAAGGGAGTGCTCCTAATCTCAGCTTGTTACCTGTATAAAAGACACCTGTCCACAGAAGCAATCAATCAATCCGATTCAAAACTCTCCACCATGGCCAAGACCAAAGAGCTCTCCAAGGATATCAGGGACAAGATTGTAGACCTACACAAGGCTGGAATGGGCTACAAGACCATCGCCAAGCAGCTTGGTGAGAAGGTGACAACAGTTTGTGCGATTATTCGCAAATGGAAGAAACACAAAATAACTGTCAATCTCCCTCGGCCTGGGGCTCCATGCAAGATCTCACCTCGTGGAGTTGCAATGATCATGAGAACGGTGAGGAATCAGCCCAGAACTACACGTGAGGATCTTGTCAATGATCTCAAGGCAGCTGGGACCATAGTCACCAACAAAACAATTGGTAACACACTACGCCGTGAAGGACTGATATCCTGCAGCGCCCGCAAGGTCCCCCTGCTCAAGAAAGCACATATACATGCCCGTCTGAAGTTTGCCAATGAACATCTGAATGATTCAGAGGAGAACTGGGTGAAAGTGTTGTGGTTAGATGAGACCAAAATGGAGCATCAACTCAACTCGCCGTGTTTGGAGGAGGTGGAATGCTGCCTATGACCCCAAGAACACCATCCCCACCGTCAAACATGGAGGTGGAAACATTATGCTTTGGGGGTGTTTTTCTGCTAAGGGGACAGGACAACTTCACCGCATCAAAGGGACGATGGACAGGGGCCGTCAAATCTTGGGTGAGAACCTCCTTCCCTCAGCCAGGGCATTGAAAATGGGTCGTGGATGGGTATTCCAGCATGACAATGACCCAAAACACACGGCCAAGGCAACAAAGGAGTGGCTCAAGAAGAAGCACATTAAGGTCCTGGAGTGGCCTAGCCAGTCTCAAAACCTTAATCCCATAGAAAATCTGTGGAGGGAGCTGAAGGTTCGAGTTGCCAAACGTCAGCCTCAAAACCTTAATGACTTGGAGAAGATCTGCAAAGAGGAGTGGGACAAAATCCCTCCTGAGATGTGTGCAAACCTGGTGGCCAACTACAAGAAACGTCTGACCTCTGTGATTGTCAACAAGGGTTTTGCCACCAAGTACTAAGTCATGTTTTGCAGAGGGGTCAAATACTTATTTCCCTCATTAAAATGCAAATCAATTTATAACATTTTTGACATGCGTTTTTCTGGATTTCTTTGTTGTTATTCTGTCTCTCACTGTTCAAATAAACCTACCATTAAAATTATAGACTGATCATTTCTTTGTCAGTGGGCAAACGTACAAAATCAGCAGGGGATCAAATACTTTTTTCCCTCACTGTATGTGTGAGTTCAATTTTCATGTAAATTGTCAAATACTTCTCTCTCCTGAAAGTCTGAGTCACATATACTGTACAGTATGTGTATGTCACACACATCAGAATAAGACCCTAGCTATAACCTCCCTTTTTCTAAATTCCTCCCTCTCCCTCCTCTTCACCGTATGCCCCCCTTCCTGCCCTGCCTTGGCTGTGACCTTTGTCTGTATAGCTGTGATGGTAGTCCTCACCCGCTCTCCCACTGTGCGGGTGGGCCTACTGAAGCAACAGAGCCTCCACTGTCAGTTTGACGTGGACCACAAGGCAGCCGACCTGACAGTGGAATGGCGTTTTCAGCGACACAGCGAACACACCACGCTCTTCAGCCACTCCAGCCGCTCGGGCCAGACGCAGGGGGGCGGGGTGGCACTTAAGGGCATCGGTAGGGGCGACGCATCCCTGATGCTCCCCCTCACCAAGCAGAGCAGCGAGGGGACGTATGTCTGCTTTGTCTCAGTGGCTCCGCTGTTTGGTAGACATGACATCGCTCTGCACATCTTGGGTAAGGTGGAGGGGTTAGGGGTCACGGAACTTGAGGCAGATACATTTAATTTTTGAAGCTTTGCTCTATTGTTGAATATTGAAAGGATAAACAAATGACTATTATTATTACCTGATACACATATACACATTTATGAATATGTACATCTCTATGACATGATAACCATAATAATATAACCATAATAACCAATTAAAGGTGTCATGGACTGCCATTTTGATCACCTAGTATATACCACCAACATCCTCATTGTAATGCCAGTCATTTCTGACATCGTCCCTCAGAGCCTCCTCGTGTGTCCTTGAACGTAGACTCTACCATCTCCCTGGTGGACAGGGGGGAGCAGAAGGTGGTGTGTGAGGCGGAGGGCTACTACCCCCTGGATGTGGAGATAGAGTGGTTCAGGGAGCCCAGTGGTGGAGGTGGAGGCCTCCTACCAGAGAAACTGGACACTGTCCTGTACTCCAGCCACCGCCACCACCGGGACGGGACCTACTCTCTGTCAGCCTTCTTCCTGATCCACGCTTCCCTGCATGACTCAGGCTCCAAGTACTTCTGCAGGGTGTCTCACAGCTCCCTGCGCATGCCCATCCGCAAGAGCTTCACCCTCATCGTCACAGGTTAGGTGGTTTAGGAACTTACCATGAAGTTTTAAAGTAAAGGTAGTTTTCTCAGGCACGGTTGAGTACCTTAATACCCTTGAATGAAAACCAATTTGATTACGTACAATGATACAGTATGCGTTCATACACATTTCTGCAGATTTACAGAAGCATATTTTATACATTTTATAAACACTGAGTATACCAAACATTAGGAACACCTTGCTAATGGTCGACCCCCACCCCCCTTTCCCACAGTTGTGTCAAGTTGCCTGGATGTCCTTTGGGTGGTCGACCATTCTTGATACATACAGGAAACTGTTGAGCGTGAAAAACCCAGCAGCGTTGCAGTTCTTGACCATACCACATTCAAAGCCACTTAAATATTTTGTCTTGCCAATTCACCCTCTGAATGGCACACATACACAATCCATGTCTCAAGGCTTAAAAATACTTCTTTACATTTTAGTCATTTAGCAGACGCTCTTATCCAGAGCGACTTACAGTTAGTGAGTGCATACATGGGGAAACGAACCCACAACCCTGGCGTTGCAAGCGCCATGCTCTACCAACTGAGCTACAGGGGACTATTAACATGTCTCCTTCACTTCATCTACACTGATTTGAAGTGGATTTAACAAGTGACATCAATAAGTTATCATAGCTTTCACCTGGATTCACCTGGTCAGTCTGTCATGGAAAGAGCTCTTAATGTTTTGTATGCTCATTGTATATAGTCTACAGAGCATATTGATCCAAACACATACTAAACTGTATGCAGTACCAATTTATGGCCACTTGATGGCAGCCCCAGTATGTATGGCCACTTGATGGCAGCCCCAGTATGTACTGTAGTATGCTATGAAAGGAGAGTATACTACAAAAACTGCATTGACTGATACATTTTGTTGTTGTGTTTTATCAGAGTTTGGCAGTTGGAACTTTGTGCTGTGGTGGTTGATCTTTGGATTCATCCTGGTCATGGTGGCCACTTTGTGTGTGATGCTACCCCGCCTGAGCTCAGGTGAGCCTTTCTAGTTCACCAGAGACCCTGTCCTTTACCTTTAGTCATTGCCAGGTTAAGTTTGTTAATGAGCTCACCCAATTGGGATATTTCTCATTGTTGTTTGCTTGTTAGGACAACCTTTGAACTTTGAATGTTTTTCTTTCACAGCAAGAAAAGCAAACAAGGTGGGTACATCTTCATACATAACGTGTGTGTTTCACGTTTTATTAGTTGTATATACGGGATACGCATGGTATACATCATCCAACGAAATGCTTACTTGCAGATTCCTTCTCGACAATGCAACAACAATAATAAATAATAAAAGATAAGTATATGAACATAAAGTAAAAGGCAGTAGAATAGAATAACATTTTAGCATAAGTATAATACAGGAAGGCAAAATATATAGTCCAATATTTACACATGTACTGGAGAAGGGGGGATGGGGGCAGTGTATAAACTGAGCAGTATATTAAGAGTCTGGTAGCAGCAGTTGTGATGTGTGTGTAGCATGAATGTAGGGTTGTCACGATACCAGCATCGTGATACTCAAGAGGTATCATGGCAAGGAAATAAAACATGAAGCGGACTCAATTTCCTGTGGAAAACAGTCCTAATGTTGGAAACAAGCAGCCTTATGTTGTCACCCAGAATCACATGTTTATTTTCCAAGCTATAGCACACAATATTTTACATACAGTAGTTTTGTTTTTTTAAGGACTAAAGAGTTTAGTCTGCTTTGTGTTTTCCTTTTTGCCATGGAAAATCCGGTATCGTAGTATCGCGATACTGGTATCGTGACAACGCTACATGACTGTATACGTGTGGTTGTGCATGATTGAGTGAGTGTGTGTGAGAGAGAGACTTCCCTGATCGTTGTGTGTGTGTGTACTGTGTCTCCTGTTCAGAGAAAGCCCTACTGAGAGAACATACCAGAGTGGCCATCTTCTCTTCATCTCAGGACTTCTCTATCAGGTGGTTTATTTTCGGGGATGTGGGTATATTGTGTGTCCCTCAAGTAAATTGTTTCCCCTGATTCTCCCATTATAAAAGTACAGTAAATACAAATATAGAAAGGTTGATCATGTATTTGTAATTCATTAGGGAAAGAGAGACTATCCCACAAGGTCATAGTACTGCTCTATGATAATACCACTCTAAGATTGTGTAAGGTAGCTTAATTTTGCTATAAAAATACTTGACATGGAATAATGATTAATTTGATAAAAATGCATGATAATGTTTGATATGAAAAAGATGCATTAGGAAATTGATTTGTTTGAAATTGTTTAAAATTGCAAACCAAGGGCACGGATGATATGTGTGAATATACTTTTTTTTTCATTTGTATTTAATAATTGCTGTTGTGTTTACTGTTTTCGCTCTAGAGATTTCTACTAAGTTAGAGGGTCAGAGAGAGTGTGATGTCAAATTCAATCAAGCTTTATTTATACAGCACATTTAAGACATGGAATGCAACACAATGTGCTTCACAGGAAAAAACAAATAAAAACAATGAAAATAAAAACAGAAATATTTACTACACAACAAGCGTAAGAGGATAAAAACCAAAAGAAAAACAGAATAACTAAAAAGCACCCTAAGGAAAAGCAAAGCTAAAAAGTTGTGTTTTAAGATCTCTTTTAAATATGTCCACAGTTTTGGCCCCCCTCAGGTTCTCTGGCAGGCTATTCCAGAGGCTGGGGGCATAATAACTAAAGGCTGCCTCTCTATGTGTTTTGGTCCTAGGCTCTGAGGGACCTATTGGGTACATAACTTAAAAGCATGTCTGACATGTATTGATTGGGGTGCACAATCATGGATTGATTTAAAAACCAATAGAAAAATCTTAACATTAATTCTAAAACTCACAGGCAGCCAGTGCAGAGACCTTAAAACCGCTGTAATATGTGCTCTCCCTCTGGTCTTGGTCAGTACCAGTGCTGCAGAATTCTGTAGGTTTTGCAGTTGACCAATGGCTTTCTTGGGTAGACCAGACAGGAGAGCATTACAGTAGTCAAGCCTGCTTGTAATAAAAGGATGCGTCTCTATGTCTTAGCCTGAGAGAGAAACAGCCGCACCTTGGCAATGTTCCTCAGGTGGTAAAAAGCTATTTTGGTCACATTCCTAATATGTGATTCGAAATTGAGTTCAGAATCTAAAATTACAACTAGGTTTTTTACCTGGTGTTTTATCTTTATTGCCCGTGAATTAAAATGTGCGGCCAGATTCTCTCTCTGTGCTTTGGCTCCAACAATAAGTACCTCGGTCTTGTCTTGATTAAGCTGGAGGTTAGCTGAAGTTGTGAGCCATCCAAGTATTTAAATCACTAATAGTCTAATAATTTATCCGTGGAGCTAAAATCCTTTGGTGACACAGAAATGTAAAGTGAAAATCAATGCTGTGCTTTCTGATAATGCTGCCAAGAGGCTCTCTGTTTTGATGTGGCCTTTTTCAACCTTACTGGAGCTATAGCATCAATGGTTGTCCTTAATTTGCTATTACAGTTATCAACTAAATCATACAAGAGGAAGGCAGAATAGGTGATGGAGTATTGTTCCTACACTCAATTATATCTGTAGCAACTTCAGAGGTAAGATAGCGTTTCTTAATAATCCTTTCAGTATTACCCTGTGCTATGGTCAACAAGGTAGTAAAAAATACACAGTGGTGATCAGATAAATCAACATCAACAATAGAGAATATGTCAATAGAAAGCCCCTTCGTAATAACCAGGTCCAGAGTATGGCCGCAGTTATGGGTGGGCACAGTAACATGTTGGATAAAGCTAAAAAGATTCATAAATTCAATGGCCTTGGAGTCAATCTCTTTGTCAACATGAATATTAAAATCACCCAACACAATGATTTGATCTTAGTTCTCAAGGACAATCGTTCAGAGAAATCCGTAAAGAAAGTGGGGCAGTGCTTTGGTGGCCTATACAGGGTTATGGTCAGCACTGTTGGCTGACATTTAAACATTATAGCATCATGCTCAAAAGACCCAAATTCTCCAAAATGTAATGTCCTTACAGCTGAGAGCATTAGTAAAAATAAAGGCTGTCCCCTCACACTTACACTTTTCCCCTTTTTCTGATAGAGTATGAAAAGCTGTAGTCTGATGCGTTTGACACACTATTGTCTGTCTTCTGCTGAAAGCCAATCTGTTTCCTAGCTGGAAGCCTCAGAGGCTTTGGAGTAATCTTGGTTATAAAGTCTTTAGTAGCCTACATATGGAGAAATACTGTGCCAAAGCCCCATCTCTCAGTTTCTACATAGTTAACTTTACCATAAACACTTCACTCTGGAATGGCAGCTGTTCCCAAATGGCACTTGGTACATCCCCCCCTTTATCCCGTCCACCAAAGTCCCCGCTCACCCTCACCATCACCCTCTCTCACACTTATTCAACCCCTCATTCACTTGCCTGCTTTTCCACTTTCAATGTTATATATATACTCAAGTGAACCTCCATACTCCATATTCTACCATTCACCTAGGCATTGAAGAGATGTCCCATATCCCATCCAGAAAATGACTTGATTTTTCAGTGTGTCGCGCCACGGCACAAACGGTGGGTCTTGAGAAGCAGAGCTCCCCACCCCAGCACTTCATTTCGCCCAAGAGTAGATCCTCAGTGGCTGGCTCTGGGTCTACAGTCAACAGACAGGCAGGCACTGCAGAGCTGGCCAGTGGAGTGCATGCCAATGCCCTGCTAGTGCCAATGCCAAGCCATACCTCTGGTCTCTAGTGTTGGCACGTGGAGAGAAGTGTGGCTCTGGAGAGGCTATCATTGCAGAGTCAGTGTAAAACTGCATGCCTGGTGGGTCAGGAGTCAGCTAAGGGCCAGGCCTCCGCTGCGTCACACAGCCCAGCTCAGAGCTCCACCAGTGGAAAGGGTTGTAATGGGATCTGGGGGCTCAAGCATTCACAGAGTAGACCCACGGGTAGTTCTAACTGAGCATCTGCTTCCTGTAAACGATGATGATGCACAATCTGGGGTCTTACTGGGGTCAGGATTGGTTGTGGTCTAGGTCCATTATCCATTATAGTCAACTATTGTTGTGGGTTACATATTTAGTCCCTCAGAAGGGCTCCATCGAATATAAACTGGGAAAGGAAAGAGACGGATTTGGATGGTAACTTCCCTTCAGTAAATATTTCTGGATGAGTTTCGGAGATATACTTCTTCATCAAAGGGATTGTAAGAAAATGTAGGTGAGCTAGTGTATTTGTAAAAAGTGTTCATGCCAATTGTTGACAAGCATGCACCTGTTAAGAAACTGTGAGAACTGTTTGAGCTCCCTGGATTGATGGTGAATTGAAAATGTTTATGGTTCATAGAAATTATGCAAAAGAGGTGGCAAACAAGTCCGGCTGCTCAGCTGATTGGTTGACATACTGTAAATTGAGAAATGTTGTGTCTAAACTTAACAAAAATAAGAATACATTTATATTACCACACAAAGATAAATGACATAAAACACAAAAATACTTTGAAGTACCTTAAATGATATCATGGGCAGAAAACCCAATTAATCTCCATTGTTCATTGAAGTTGATGGGTATAACAAAATCTTTCGATATTGCCAATCATTTCAATTACTATTTCACTAATAAAGTGGAAAAACTCAGAAGTGAAATGACAACATTGAACAGTGAACCATCATATCTTTGCATAAAAGATCTAATAATGAAATAGAAGGAGGTGGAAAAACTATGGTTATCCATCAATAATGATAAGCCACCAGGTATAGACAACCTTAATGGGAAACTATTGAGAATGGTAGGGACTGTATTGCCACCCCTATTTGATATATCTTTAACCAAAGCCTAAAGGAGTGTGTGTGTCCACAGGCGTGGAAGGAAGCTAAAGTAATTCCACTGCTTATAAATAGTAAAGCACCCTTTGCTGGCTCACTGGCTCTAACAGCCGCCCAATCAGTTTGCTGCCTGTTTTTAGAAAACTGATGGAGAGGATTGTTTGACCAAATCTTTCAGAGAACACGACTTTCAGCATGCATATAGAGAAGGGCACTCAACTTGTACTGCACTAACTCGGATGTCTGATGATTAGTTAAAATAAATGGATAATAAGATGATAGTTGGAGCTGTATTGTTATATTTCAGTGCAGCCTTTTATGTTATTGATCATAAATTGTTATTGAAAAAACTAACTTGCTATGGCTTTACATCACCTGCCATCACATGGTTGGAGAGTTATTCATCCAATAGAACCCAAAGAGTGTTCTTCAGTGGAAGCTTCTCTAACATCAGATATGTACAGTGCGGTGTCCCTCAGGGCAGTTGCCTTGGGCCACTACTCTTCTCTATTTTTACAAATGATTTGCCACTGGTCTTACACAAAGCTAGAATGACTATGTATGTGGACGATTCCACACTCTACATTTCAGCACCCAAAGCCAGTGAGCTCACTGAAATTCTAAATAAGGATTTACAGTCAGTATCATAATGGGTGATTAATAATAAACTGGTCTTAAATACATCTAAAACTAAAAGCATTGTATTTGGTTCAAAACATTCTCTAAGACCTAAACCTCAACTGGAGTTGTACACAAAGGGTGTGACCATTGAGCAAGTTGAGGAAGCTAAACTCCAAGGTATAACATTGGATGGTCAATTATCATGGGCAAGTCATATTGACAAAGTTGGTGTGAAGATGGGGAGGGGAATGTCTGTTATAAAAAGATGTTCTGTGTTTTTTACACACAAATCAACTGTACTAGTTGTTCAGGCTCTGGTCTTGTCCCATCTTGATTACTGTCTGGTAATATGGTCAAGTACAGCAAAGAAAGACCTAGCAAAGCTGCAGCTGGCTCAAAACAGAGCAGCACACCTTGCCCTTAAATGCACATACAGAACTAACATCAACACTATTCATGTCAGTCTTTCCTGGTTGAGGGTGGACGAGAGATTAACTGCTTCTCTCCTAGTTT